ATGATTAACATAAGTAAAAGCGAAGTGCTTTCCATACCTGATTTATCACCCTATAGTACAGTCAAGGAAACAAAAATACTTGGTGTCTTGTTTTACACTTCCCAAAAAATTGAAAATATTGAATTATTGTTGAGTTCACAAATTCAAAAACATCGAGGGTTAATTTCACTAAGTAAATCTTTGAGGGCCAAATCATTAACACTGTCAGTTTATGTTCTCCCTAAGTTTTTTCATTTGGCTCGTCATACTACAGTTAACTTGGATACTGTTAGTAAATGCCAAGAATTATTAAATACAGAATTGAAAAAAACAAGCAGACTCGACATAAGAAAAGAAGTTTTATATCACCCCATCTTAGATGGTGGGATAGGCTTACCATGCCTACAACTTAAACTTTTTAGTATGAAAATTATCGATTTCTTTGCTTCTGATATGTCAGATCAAAATAGTTTATTACCAACAGATTCAATTTTACCGAAAGAAATCAAAAATTTGTTGAGAAACACGAACATCTCTATTGAAATAAGTTCAAGTGATTTTGCAATATTTTCAAACAGTACCAATAGCCGTTTAATTATAACAATACAGACAAAATCGCGAGATGTTTATTATTTCTGCTTACAAAACTGTAGTTTTCATCGAGCTGTGATTTTCCGCTTGGGTTTTGCAGCAAACCGTTACCTCTGTTCAGAAGAAGAATTGATTAAATTTACAGGCAAAGTTTGGAAAAATTCAATGCTTGATGTATGGGAAAAAACTTTCTTTATAAATTTGCATACGCTGTTTTTAAAGATCTAGAAAAGCGGTGGTTTTTATTTCTCGAGAATGCCCCTGAATGTTTCTATTGTAATTTAGAATGCGAAACATTCGAACACCTAATTTTCAGTTGTCCCTCGCTACAACCTTCAAGAAACATATTACAGATTAACAATTGGCGTGACGTTTTTGTATCAACCAACATTGCAAGACTTAAGTATGTTGTTTCGGTTATTCGTGGTGCATATTCAAAATTATCGACGTCATGGAAAATCAACTTGCAAACATTTGTGTCATGGGAAGTATGGAAGATGAGAAATACAAATTGCTCCTTCTGATCTAAACTATAAGGAAATGTAAGACTTCAGCAACAAACCAGGATACCCGGTATCCGGTAAAAGTAATGTCAATTGAACAAATATGATGTTATTTGTTGTACATATTGATTATGAAACTCTTAACTAAACAAATTTAATTTACAATTTGAAAAAAAAAGAGATGTTTTTGCCTTCTGATGTCTACATTTTGAAAGAGAAAAATCCAATTTTTTTTTCAAGTATACCTCCGGGTGAAGGCTTTTTTGCCCCCCATTGAGTAAAACCAAGTCATGAGTCAACAACAACTGACGGAATCTCAGCTACCAATTACTCACGAAGTGCTGATCGAAACGGAGACAAATTTCAGAAATGCGCTAACAGCAAACAAATTGACGACACAAACAAAACAAATCCAAATAATCAAAATCATCCCCCCATTCTCGAGAGAAATTGTAAGGTCAGCTGAAAATCTGGCGCAGGCATATCGAAGTTGTGCTTCCGATATACTTACACAATTCCCCACAAACAATTCCTTTATTCTCTTCGCCCCGTTGCTGTTTTTCACTGAACTGTTGTTCTTAACTGTAATTTGGTGCTATTTTTTCAAAGCTGATGTATAATACTTGTATATTGTACATATTTGTAGTTTTAGTAGATTGTTTTCAGTTTTAAAAAAAAAATTATGAAAAAAAAAATTCCCCACAACAATGCAACAGAAGATGACAATCTCAAAAACAATAACCGTGACGAAAGATGACCGCAAACTTCATACACTGACAGTTATTGCTCCCCCCGAAGCGGAGCATTTCATAACTAGCATCAAAAGCGAAGGAATCATTCTACTTAACAGGACGGTATTTCCCATGGGATGCTTTCCAAGATCTCATAGACCCAAGAACATTTACCCTAAACTAGCAAAAATCAAATTGTCGAACTTGCCTTATGTATGCAACGATATCCAAGCGAAATTAATTCTCCAATTGCCAGAAGACATAATTCATAGCCCCATATTCCAACGTGAGACCTGTATCGTAACTGAACCGGGTCAGTATGTTTACTCAGGAAGAGCAATATCAGAAGTTAAAATACAAAACGAAGAACAAGAGAAAAAGCTGAAGGACTGGTCTTATAAATCGAGAATGGATAACTTCAAAATGTGGGAAGGTGTAGAAATCTTGTTTCACATACCTTCACTACATGAATGTCAAAAATGCAAGATGTCTGGACGCCAAGAAAAAGGTCATCACGATGATTGGTGCAACATAGGGAACCAAATAACCAAAAATCCAAATAGTCACTACGCACAAAAACTAAGCTCCAATAATGCCAGCGACGAGAAAAACGATGCCGAAACAACAAGCGATAACTTTTGTAATGGTACCGAAAATGAAGAAGATAAGAATGTTGAAGCACCACCATCTGGAGTTTTGATTGATGAATCTAAAACAAACAGTGCAGCTACTCCAAGCGAAGAAAAACAAAAGGATGAGGTTCTCAACAATCAGGTCGTAGATTTTCATTCTTACTCTGCAAAAGAAAAAAAGACAATTTAAATATCGAAAATAACAAACGAAAATGTTCCTCTGACGGAAGAATGCCTACAAAAGAGAGCGTGAAACTTCACCAACCTCTTGGTCAGTTTTATCACGGAAGAAAGGGCCAAAAATGAAATCTAAAAATAACGGAGAAGACTTGGTTGGAGGGAAGTTTTAGCAAAAATTTCTATGTGCGAAAAACCAGATATTTTTTCCGTTAATATTTTTAGCATAGGAAATCCAGCTAAATTACACTCACTTATCAAAAAATGCCAAGTTTTAAAAAAATCGCCCAGTTTCATTTTGTGCATTCAGGAAGCAAAAATATCGAAACTTACAAATATACATTTGAGTTTACTGGATAAATATAATGTTTTATTCGATTTCATACCGGGCTCAAATAATTCTGGTGGTTTCTTAACGTTATTGTCATCAAACTTGAGTCCTGCAAAAAGAATTGCTTCAAGTACAGGTTTTCAATTGTTAAAGTTTGTCAAACTTGATTGGTTTGTTATCAACGTTTATGCGAACCCAATTTCATTCCGAGCAACTTTGAACTCCCTGAAATTAAGCATCAGATTTTTACCTAACAAATCGAAAGTTATCATGATGGGTGACTTTAATGCGCTGAGTTATGATAACATTAACAGTTCGTCAATACTTAAATTAAATGATGCACGTATCAAACGATTTACCCAACTCAAAGAACAAATTCTTGACTGTTTTGGTTTTGTTGATTTTGCACTCAAGAATGATTTTTGTGATTATACACATTATGACAAACAACATAAAACTTTTGCACGCATAGATTATGTTTTCATAAAATTCGAAACAGAGTATGATTCTATGCAAAGCATTCAAATATCAATATCTGATCATTTGCTTTTACACGTTTTTGTTAAGCCATCTAACTTGTATCGGCGCGGCCCTAGTTACTGGAAATTAAATGAAGAAATTTTCAACAACAACGCCAGCTTAATTCGTGAAGACCTAAAAAATTTTTACGAAAATGAATCACCAAGCAGTTACGAAAACTTTCAGCACAATTTTCGTGACCTTCTGAGGTTTATTCAAGAGAACAAAAAGCGTGTAGATCAGAAAGAACTTAATTTATTGAAAATCACGAAAATGTTCTCAGAGATTGCATTCACAGCGGAAAAGGTCCGAACCCTAATTTGATTGAAAAATATCATTTGGTGCTGGAACATCTTCAAAAAGTTTCCAAGGAAAAAGATTTTTCAGATTATCGAAATATTCAGAAAACTCTCAGCTATACATTCGAGGATGTTCCCAAATTTTGTAATCAATGGACATCAAAGAACACAATTAACTCAGTTAAGCGAATTCAAGTGGATCAGAACGTTTATCAAACGGATGAGGATATTCTTAATCAATTTCGAAAGTATTTTTCAAATATTTTTTTAAATAGTTCTACAACAGACTCCGATCAACTACTAAAGACATTTTTATCAAAAAATAAACTCGAAAAAAATGAGAATGATGGCTATAATTACTTTACAGAAGATGAAATTCACTTGAAAATCACATTGTCTCTATTTGTCTTAGATTAAATTCGTTCAAACAAAAACAAGCCGAGTCAAAAAATTATATGTTAAATAAGCGGATCGGTACTAAACTTCCTAGACGCTAAAAAAAACCTCCCAAACTTGAGCAGCTAACCATTGCGCTGCAAAAAAAACTGGTTTTCTTATGCGTGTGTGTTCTGGAGAGGAAGGTTTCAGCTCCCCTCCTCGAAGCCTACACTAACAACAAAGTTTTGCCAGTTCATACAAACATGGCTAACTGACAGTTGGAAGGTTAATGAACGCAAGGAAACAGAAAAAAAAACCGACGTGTTTTCAAGCCTTCAAGTTTTGAAATTCGAAGAGAAAAATAGATGGCCTAAAACCTCTTTGAATTTTTAAAACAATTTATGATGGACACTTTTTTTGTTTTAAATCAATCAAATTTCAGAAAACTGGATCAATAAGTAAAACTTTTATTTCGCTAGGTAATCTGATAATTAATTTCCATTTTTGAAAGTAGAAGCCGATCACGTTTTTCGTGACCTTAACTCTTTTGCTGTTCAATAGCAGGGTTTGCCTTCCTTTTAACAATGGAAATGGACTGAACTTAAAAAGAAATCACAAGTCAAACCGCGAAAAATCAAAATGAGCTAAAAAAAAAACAAAAAAAATACCAAGACCTATACAGGAGTACCCACTAGAAAAAACACTCATACGATATAAGATAATATGAGAAATCCGATTAACAAGATGAGATAATTGGCGACTTTTTTGTGGGACAAAGATTTTTTCATTGAATACTGCAAGACTGATTGATATTAGGGGCGGCTCCACTTTAACAAAAAATGTTTTTTGATAGCAATCAGAGTTTTTCCGGCAAAAAATATAATCGAGCAGCAAAAAAAATATCAAAAGTTTTGATCCATTGCTGTAGTTGAGTTAAGATTTCGATCTCAACTTATGCGATTAAACGTTTTTTTTTGTACGAAAGCCAAACGTTTTTTATTCCTTTTTTCCTCTTTTCTGGTGCTTTTTTCCCTCCCTGCTGGTACGATTTCTAATTAAATGAATATTATTTGATTTAAACGATTTTAATGTCATTTGGTTGTGATTGCATTTCGTTTTGATACCTGTGAATTTTTTTTTTGAATTTAATTTGAGAAATTCGAATCAGAAATCAAGCAAAACACAAAACTCAGACCTAAATGAGTCCCAAAAAATCAGCCTCAAGCCTGCAATACGAAATCAGTATTTGACTACATTAAATTATTCGTTCTCCGACTCAAGGAGTATATATTCTTCAAGTATTAACTTAATTTTGTTCATTGATTTTATTTAATTAAAGACAACCAAAAAGCTCACAAGAGGAGCTCATGTTTTATTGTACTGAAAGCTTTAGTGAGTTGATGTAAGGTGAAGTCGTGATCCCATTGCGTTGAGAAAACAAAAGTAGAATGCTCAATTCGCTCTCTATTCGAAATTTGACTTTCAATGCGAGAGAGCGCTTCTTCCGCAGACAACAATGGGTTTCTTGTCGATAGCCGTTCGAGTGCCATTTGCTTTGGAACTATACACGTGAAAATTTCTTCGCATAAATCTGCCCATTCAGCCTCTATTAGAAGCGCGGCTTCAACGACAATAATTTTGCCTTTTTCAGGACTTTTCTTGATGATATTTTTCACTTGTTTTCGAACTTCCGGCCATACAATTTCATTCAGTTTCTTCAATTTATTATGATCTCCGAAAACTTTCTGGCCTAAAACTTGTCTGTTTATCTCCTGAGAGCCAACACTATTTAACATTAAAACATCTTTGCCGAAACTTTGTATTATTTGTTCAAAGCAATCAGAGCCACTTTCATAGGCTGAGTGCGCTAGTTTGTCACAGTCTACAGCAATAACTTCGAAATGGGTCTTGAACATATTGACTATTTTCTCTGTTAGCGCACTTTTACCGCATGCTATTCCACCAGTGACACCAATGATTAACGACTCAGATTTGAATTTGTTTTTTTTTGAGGGTGCGATACGAGTACCGAGTATCTGCTTCCTCTGATTTGACGAGGAAATTTTGAAACTTTTTCCTCATAAACGGAACTTTCAGTCGACAATCTATCGTCTAAAATTTCAATCTGCTCAATTTCAAGATTGCACAATCCTAGTTCTTTTCTTTTTGTAACAACGGCTTGTCCGCCTTTTAAGGTCTCTGGTGAAACAACTATGGCGTCGAGATCAACTTCGCGAATTGAAGGCCCAAAACCGTCATTCATGGATTCAACGATTACTTCCTTAAGAGAAGGATGTATGGATTGAACATAATTTTTGACCAAATGAACTCGACATTTGGCTGTATCGATAAATTCAGGGAGTATCTTCCGCTTTTGAACATAGTCATCATCAGTAATTCCTATTACGATTTTGTTCTCTGCTAAATACGATTTTGTTCTCTGAAAATTCCTCCCAGCACAACACCATGGTAACGTTTCATCTTCGAATGGTTTTCAATGAAGCATGATGTAGGGCATTCAATGTCTATTTCAGTCATTTTAGTGTTCTGAATATTTGCTGCATGCTTTCTAGCAGTGTGATCAGTTGAATCAAACATAACATTACTGATTTCTTTTCCGCTCTTTTTATATATTTCAAATTCGTCAAGAAAAAACCGACATTTCGGTGCATTTGCTATTTGAGAGTGCTTTCTATAAAAGCTGTGAATAATATTTTGTGCTGCTGATAAGCTCAGCTCTCGATCAATTAAGTCTTGACATATCATGTACAAAGGTTTCTGCACGTTTTTTTGGTTACCTTCAATTATTCGCTCAACGATCAGTAGATTACGCAATTTTGCAGCTCGAATAAAACATTTTTTTAAATCATGCAGTTAACTCAAATGGATCAAACGCACGCTTTCCATTGAAAAGTGATAGATGATAAGTTACCAACCCAGCTTTTAGCGGCATTTTTGTACGCGAATTTAGGTTATTTCAAAACTTAATCTTGGGATGTTTTTAATCGAGATTGTAGCTCTTTTGTGTTAGTTTCAACCCATTTTAAGCACATAAATTTTATAAAAAGAGATAGTGTCTCTGGTCGTTGAACAACGGCAGTAGCCCAATTTCCTTCGTTCATGTGACACAAAAAACTAAGCGTCTCCCAAGCAAGTAATCTAATTAGATTTTCTTAAAAACGTTTTTATACCAAATTTGACAACGCAGTATAAATTACAAATTGCAATCAACACATTCTAAATTATTTGCATGATTGAAGTAACAATCATACTTAAGGTGCAATACCAGCAAACTTAAGGTGCGATATTTTCAGTCTTCTCTCTCAATAAGTCGATTAATAGCAATTAACTATCTTCGATCAGCATTCCAGGTTTCAGCGCTTCCACTGCTTCTTTATTAATTAGAGCCTCAATCATCGCGAAAGCTAGTTCAAACGCAGTTCCAGGCCCCCGGCTGGTGATCAGGTTACCATCAACTACCACTCGGTCTTCTGAGTAATCATACCCCGCTTCCTCCATTACGCTCTTAACTGATGGATGAGATGTCACTTTTTTTCCATTGTCGATTCCGTGCTTCGCAACAGCCGTAGGCCCTGCGCAAATTGCAGCAACTATTTTACCTGCGTCTGAATGTTTTTTCAATACCAAGCCTACAGTTACATCATCTGCCAGATTTTTAGCAGAGAAGACTTGGCTGGAGGGAAGTTTTAGCAAAAATTTCTATGTGCGAAAAACCAGATATTTTTTCCGTTAATATTTTTAGCATAGGAAATCCAGCTAAATTACACTCACTTATCAAAAAATGCCAAGTTTTAAAAAAATTGCCCAGTTTCATTTTGTGCATTCAGGAAGCAAAAATGTCGAAACTTACAAATATACATTTGAGTTTACTGGATAAATATAATGTTTTATTCGATTTCATACCGGGCTCAAATAATTCTGGTGGTTTCTTAACGTTATGGTCATCAGACTTGAGTCCTGCAAAAAGAATTGCTTCAAGTACAGGTTTTCAATAGTTAAAATTTGTCAAACTTGATTGGTTTGTTATCAACGTTTATGCGAACCCAATTTCATTCCGAGCAACTTTGAATTCCCTGAAATTAAGCATCAGATTTTTACCTAACAAATCGAAAATTATCATGATGGGTGACTTTAATGCGCTGAGTTATGATAATATTAACAGTTCTTCAATACTTAAGTTAAATGATGCACGTATCAAACGATTTACCCAACTCAAAGAACAAATTCTTGACTGTTTTGGTTTTGTTAATTTTGCACTCAAGAATGATTTTTGTGATTATACACATTATGACAAACAACATAAAACTTTTGCACGCATAGATTATGTCTTCTTAAAATTTGAAACAGAGTATGATTCTATGCAAAGCATTCAAATATCAATATCTGATCATTTGCTCTTACACGTTTTTGTTAAGCCATCTAACTTGTATCAGCGCGGCCCTAGTTACTGGAAATTAAATGAAGAAATTTTAAACAACAACGCCAGCTTAATTCGTGAAGACCTAAAAAACTTTTACGAAAACGATTCACCAAGTAGTTACAAAAACTTTCAGCACAATTTTCGTGACCTTTTGAGGTTTATTCAAGAGAACAAAAAGCGTGTAGATCAGAAAGAACTTAATTTATTGAAGTATCACGAAAATGTTCTCAGAGATTGCATTCACAGCGGAAAAGGTCCCAACCCTAATTTGATTGAAAAATATCATTTGGTGCTGGAACATCTTCAAAAAGTTTCCAAAGAAAAAGATTTTTCAGATTATCGAAAAATTCAGAAAACTCTCAGCTATACATTCGAGGGTGTTCCCAAATTTTGTAGTCAATGGACATCAAAGAACACAATCAACTCAATCAAGAGAATTCAAGTGGATCAGAACGTTTATCATACGGATGAAGATATTCTTAATCAATTTCGAAAGTATTTTTCAAATATTTTTTCAAATAGTTCTACAACAGACTCCGATCAACTACTAAAGACATTTTTATCAAAAAATAAACTCGAAAAAAATGAGAATGATGGCTATAATTACTTTAAAGAAGATGAAATTCACTTGGCTATAAACAAATTGAATTTGAAAAGCTCGCCTGGACCAGACGGCCTTACTTCTAAGCTATACAAGACTTTCACGGATGAGTTTTGTTCAATTTTAGCTAAAGTTTTTAATCATTTTGTTCATGGTGGAAAACTTCCAAACAGTTTTTATTTAGCAATAATCAAATTGATCCCGAAATCTGAAAATGCCATAGCAGTACAAGATTTTCGCCCCATCAGCCTTATGAATACTGACGCGAAAATCTTTGCCCATGTAGTCTGTAATCGAATTAAAAATGACCTTTGCAAAGTTGTAAAAAACTATCAGCACGCGTATTTGCCTGGAAGACAAATGCACACAGCATTACGAAAATTGAAAAAAGCGATTACTCCAGAACGATTGGCTACCCGAGGTTCATGTGCTGTAAAATTAGACTTTTCTAAAGCATTTGACAGAGTTGACAGATCACTTCTCATCAAAATTTTGAAAGGGTTAAACCTTGGTGAGCTTTCAGTTAGAGCTATTGAAACTTTGTATTTAGACTCAAAAGCAGTAATTGAGATAAATGGTTTTCTATCAACCAGCTTCAAAATTCATCGCGGTGTGAGACAAGGTTGCCCTCTTTCCGCATTTTTATTCATAGTTTTTATCGAACCCCTTCTTCAAGCAATTGAATCTACAGAAGCAATTGAAGGTTTCGGGATATTGTGCCCCAAACTAGTTTCATATGCAGACGACATAACTTGCCTTATCAAAATCCGATGTATTGACAGGTTGTTTCGCTTAATCGATACATTTTGCAAACAAACTCAAATTATGATTAACATAAGTAAAAGCGAAGTGCTTTCCATACCTGATTTATCACCCTATAGTACAGTCAAGGAAACAAAAATACTTGGTGTCTTGTTTTACACTTCCCAAAAAATTGAAAATATTGAATTATTGTTGAGTTCACAAATTCAAAAACATCGAGGGTTAATTTCACTAAGTAAATCTTTGAGGGCCAAATCATTAACACTGTCAGTTTATGTTCTCCCTAAGTTTTTTCATTTGGCTCGTCATACTACAGTTAACTTGGATACTGTTAGTAAATGCCAAGAATTATTAAATACAGAATTGAAAAAAACAAGCAGACTCGACATAAGAAAAGAAGTTTTATATCACCCCATCTTAGATGGTGGGATAGGCTTACCATGCCTACAACTTAAACTTTTTAGTATGAAAATTATCGATTTCTTTGCTTCTGATATGTCAGATCAAAATAGTTTATTACCAACAGATTCAATTTTACCGAAAGAAATCAAAAATTTGTTGAGAAACACGAACATCTCTATTGAAATAAGTTCAAGTGATTTTGCAATATTTTCAAACGGTACCAATAGCCGTTTAATTATAACAATACAGACAAAATCGCGAGATGTTTATTATTTCTGCTTACAAAACTGTAGTTTTCATCGAGCTGTGATTTTCCGCTTGGGTTTTGCAGCAAACCGTTACCTCTGTTCAGAAGAAGAATTGATTAAATTTACAGGCAAAGTTTGGAAAAATTCAATGCTTGATGTATGGGAAAAAAACTTTCTTTATAAATTTGCATACGCTGTTTTTAAAGATCGAGAAAAGCGGTGGTTTTTATTTCTCGAGAATGCCCCTGAATGTTTCTATTGTAATTTAGAATGCGAAACATTCGAACACCTAATTTTCAGTTGTCCCTCGCTACAACCTTCAAGAAACATATTACAGATTAACAATTGGCGTGACGTTTTTGTATCAACCAACATTGCAAGATTTAAGTATGTTGTTTCGGTTATTCGTGGTGCATATTCAAAATTATCGACGTCCTGGAAAATCAACTTGCAAACATTTGTGTCATGGGAAGTATGGAAGATGAGAAATACAAATTTCTCCTTCTGATCTAAACTATAAGGAAATGTAAGACTTCAGCAACAAACCAGGATACCCGGTATCCGGTAAAAGTAATGTCAATTGAACAAATATGATGTTATTTGTTGTACATTTTGATTATGAAACTCTTAACTAAACAAATTTAATTTACAATTTGAAAAAAAAAAAAAAAAAAAAAAAGATGTTTTTGCCTTCTGATTTCTACATTTTGAAAGAGAAAAATCCAATTTTTTTTTCAAGTATACCTCCGGGTGAAGGCTTTTTTGCCCCCATTGAGTAAAACCAAGTCATGAGTCAACAACAACTGACGGAATCTCAGCTACCAATTACTCACGAAGTGCTGATCGAAACGGAGACAAATTTCAGAAATGCGCTAACAGCAAACAAATCGACGACACAAACAAAACAAATCCAAATAATCAAAATCATCCCCCCATTCTCAAGAGTAATTGTAAGGTCAGCTGAAAATCTGGCGCAGGCATATCGAAGTTGTGCTTCCGATATACTTACACAATTCCCCACAAACAATTCCTTTATTCTCTTCGCCCCGTTGCTGTTTTTCACTGAACTGTTGTTCTTAACTGTAATTTGGTGCTGTTTTTTCAAAGCTGATGTATAATACTTGTATATTGTACATATTTGTAGTTTTAGTAGATTGTTTTCAGTTTTAAAAAAAAAATTATGAAAAAAAACAAATTCCCCACAACAATGCAACAGAAGATGACAATCTCAAAAACAATAACCGTGACGAAAGATGACCGCAAACTTCATACACTGACAGTTATTGCTCCCCCCGAAGCAGAGCAATTCATAACTAGCATCAAAAGCGAAGGAATCATTCTACTTAACAGGACGGTATTTCCCATGGGATGCTTTCCAAGATCTCATAGACCCAAGAACATTTACCCTAAACTAGCAAAAATCAAATTGTCGAACTTGCCTTATGTATGCAACGATATCGAAGCAAAATTAATTCTCCAATTGCCAGAAGACATAAATCATAGCCCCATAATCCAACGTGAGACCTGTATCGTAACTGAACCGGGTCAGTATGTTTACTCAGGAAGAGCAATATCAGAAGTTAAAATACAAAACGAAGAACAAGAGAAAAAGCTGAAGGACTGGTCTTATAAATCGAGAATGGATGGCTTCAAAATGTGGGAAGGTGTAGAAATCTTGTTTCACATACCTTCACTACATGAATGTCAAAAATGCAAGATGTCTGGACGCCAAGAAAAAGGTCATCACGATGATTGGTGCAACATAGGGAACCAAATAACCAAAATCCAAATAGTCACTACCCACAAAAACTAAGCTCCAATAATGCCAGCGACGAGAAAAACGATGCCGAAACAACAAGCGATAACTTTTGTAATGGTACCGAAAATGAAGAAGATAAGAATGTTGAAGCACCACCATCTGGAGTTTTGATTGATGAATCTAAAACAAACAGTGCAGCTACTCCAAGCGAAGAAAAACAAAAAGATGAGGTTCTCAACAATCAGGTCGTAGATTTTCATTCTTACTCTGCAAAAGAAAAAAAGACAATTTAAATATCGAAAATAACAAACGAAAATGTTCCTCTGACGGAAGAATGCCTACAAAAGAGAGCGTGAAACTTCACCAACCTCTTGGTCAGTTTTATCACGGAAGAAAGGGCCAAAAATGAAATCTAAAAATAACGGAGAAGACTTGGTTGGAGGGAAGTTTTAGCAAAAATTTCTATGTGCGAAAAACCAGATATTTTTTCCGTTAATATTTTTAGCATAGGAAATCCAGCTAAATTACACTCACTTATCAAAAAATGCCAAGTTTTAAAAAAATCGCCCAGTTTCATTTTGTGCATTCAGGAAACAAAAATATCGAAACTTACAAATATACATTTGAGTTTACTGGATAAATATAATTTTTTATTCGATTTCATACCGGGCTCAAATAATTCTGGTGGTTTCTTAACGTTATTGTCATCAAACTTGAGTCCTGCAAAAAGAATTGCTTCAAGTACAGGTTTTCAATTGTTAAGGTTTGTCAAACTTGATTGGTTTGTTATCAACGTTTATGCGAACCCAATTTCATTCCGAGCAACTTTGAACTCCCTAAAATTAAGCATCAGATTTTTACCTAACAAATCGAAAATTATCATGATGGGTGACTTTAATGCGCTGAGTTATGATAACATTAACAGTTCGTCAATACTTAAATTAAATGATGCACGTATCAAACGATTTACCCAACTCAAAGAACAAATTCTTGACTGTTTTGGTTTTGTTGATTTTGCACTCAAGAATGATTTTTGTGATTATACACATTATGACAAACAACATAAAACTTTTGCACGCATAGATTATGTTTTCATAAAATTCGAAACAGAGTATGATTCTATGCAAAGCATTCAAATATCAATATCTGATCATTTGCTTTTACACGTTTTTGTTAAGCCATCTAACTTGTATTGGCGCGGCCCTAGTTACTGGAAATTAAATGAAGAAATTTTCAACAACAACGCCAGCTTAATTCGTGAAGACCTAAAAAACTTTTACGAAAATGAATCACCAAGCAGTTACGAAAACTTTAAGCACAATTTTCGTGACCTTCTGAGGTTTATTCAAGAGAACAAAAAGCGTGTAGATCAGAAAGAACTTAATTTATTGAAAATCACGAAAATGTTCTCAGAGATTGCATTCACAGCGGAAAAGGTCCGAACCCTAATTTGATTGAAAAATATCATTTGGTGCTGGAACATCTTCAAAAAGTTTCCAAGGAAAAAGATTTTTCAGATTATCGAAATATTCAGAAAACTCTCAGCTATACATTCGAGGATGTTCCCAAATTTTGTAGTCAATGGACATCAAAGAACACAATTAACTCAATTAAGCGAATTCAAATGGATCAGAACGTTTATCAAACGGATGAGGATATTCTTAATCAATTTCGAAAGTATTTTTCAAATATTTTTTTAAATAGTTCTACAACAGACTCCGATCAACTACTAAAGACATTTTTATCAAAAAATAAACTCGAAAAAAATGAGAATGATGGCTATAATTACTTTACAGAAGATGAAATTCACTTGAAAATCACATTGTCTCTATTTGTCTTAGATTAAATTCGTTCAAACAAAAACAAGCCGAGTCACAAAATTATATGTTAAATAAGCGGATCGGTACTAGACTTCCTAGACGCTAAAAAAACCTCCCAAACTTGAGCAGCTAACCATTGCGCTGCAAAAAAAACTGGTTTTCTTATGCGTGTGTGTTCTGGAGAGGAAGGTTTCAGCTCCCCTCCTCGAAGCCTACACTAACAACAAAGTTTTGCCAGTTCATACAAACATGGCTAACTGACAGTTGGAAGAGTAATGAACGCAAGGAAACAGAAAAAACAAACCGACGTGTTTTGAAGCCTTCAAGTTTTGAAATTCGAAGAGAAAAATAGATGGCCTAAAACCTCTTTGAGTTTTTAAAACAATTTATGATGGACACTTTTTTTGTTTTAAATTAATCAAATTTCAGAAAACTGGATCAATAAGTAAAACTTTTATTTCGCTAGGTAATCTGATAATTAATTTCCATTTTCGAAAGTAGAAGCCGATCACGTTTTTCGTGACCTTAACTCTTTTGCTGTTCAATAGCAGGGTTTGCCTTCCTTTTAACAATGGAAATGGACTGAACTTAAAAAGAAATCACAAGTCAAACCGCGAAAAATCAAAATGAGCTAAAAAAAAACAAAAAAAATACCAAGACCTATACAGGAGTACCCACTAGAAAAAACACTCATACGATATAAGATAATATGAGAAATCCGATTAACAAGATGAGATAATTGGCGACTTTTTTGTGGGACAAAGATTTTTTCATTGAATACTGCAAGATTGATTGATATTAGGGGCGGCTCCACTTTAACAAAAAATGTTTTTTGATAGCAATCAGAGTTTTTCCGGCAAAAAATATAATCGAGCAGCAAAAAAAATATCAAAAGTTTTGATCCATTGCTGTAGTTGAGTTAAGATTTCGATCTCAACTTATGCGATTAAACGTTTTTTTTTGTACGAAAGCCAAACGTTTTTTATTCCTTTTTTCCTCTTTTCTGGTGCTTTTTTCCCTCCCTGCTGGTACGATTTCTAATTAAATGAATATTATTTGATTTAAACGATTTTAATGTCATTTGGTTGTGATTGCATTTCGTTTTGATACCTGTGAATTTTTTTTTTGAATTCAATTTGAGAAATTCGAATCAGAAATCAAGCAAAACACAAAACTCAGACCTAAATGAGTCCCAAAAAATCAGCCTCAAGCCTGCAATACGAAATCAGTATTTGACTACATTAAATTATTCGTTCTCCGACTCAAGGAGTATATATTCTTCAAGTATTAACTTAATTTTGTTCATTGATTTTATTTAATTAAAGACAACCAAAAAGCTCACAAGAGGAGCTCATGTTTTATTGTACTGAAAGCTTTAGTGAGTTGATGTAAGGTGAAGTCGTGATCCCATTGCGTTGAGAAAACAAAAGTAGAATGCTCAATTCGCTCTCTATTCGAAATTTGACTTTCAATGCGAGAGAGCGCTTCTTCCGCAGACAACAATGGGTTTCTTGTCGATAGCCGTTCGAGTGCCATTTGCTTTGGAACTATACACGTGAAAATTTCTTTGCTTAAATCTGCCCATTCAGCCTCTATTAGAAGCGCGGCTTCAACGACAATAATTTTGCCTTTTTCAGGACTTTTCTTGATGATATTTTCCACTTGTTTTCGAACTTCCGGCCATACAATTTCATTCAGTTTCTTCAATTTATTATGATCTCCGAAAACTTTCTGGCCTAAAACTTGTCTGTTTATCTCCTGAGAGCCAACACTATTTAACATTAAAACATCTTTGCCGAAACTTTGTATTATTTGTTCAAAGCAATCAGAGCCACTTTCATAGGCTAAGTGCGCTAGTTTGTCACAGTCTACAGCAATAACTTCGAAATGGGTCTTGAACATATTGACTATTTTCTCTGTTAGCGCACTTTTACCGCATGCTATTCCACCAGTGACACCAATGATTAACGACTCAGATTTGAATTTGATTTTTTTTTGAGGGTGCGATACGAGTACCGAGTATCTGCTTCCTCTGATTTGACGAGGAAATTTTGAAATTTTTTCCTCATAAACGGAACTTTCAGTCGACAATCTATCGTCTAAAATTTCAATCTGCTCAATTTCAAGATTGCACAATCCTAGTTCTTTTCTTTTTGTAACAACGGCTTGTCCGCCTTTTAAGGTCTCTGGTGAAACAACTATGGCGTCGAGATCAACTTCGCGAATTGAAGGCCCAAAACCGTCATTCATGGATTCAACGATTACTTCCTTAAGAGAAGGATGTATGGATTGAACATAATTTTTCACCAAATGAACTCGACATTTGGCTGTATCGATAAATTCAGGGAGTATCTTCCGCTTTTGAACATAGTCATCATCAGTAATTCCTATTACGATTTTGTTCTCTGCTAAATAAGCTGATATAGTCAGAAGCAACTCGTGCCTATAGTGCATTTTATCAAAAGTTCCTCCCAGCACAACACCATGGTAACGTTTCATCTTCGAATGGTTTTCAATGAAGCATGATGTAGGGCATTCAATGTCTATTTCAGTCATTTTAGTGTTCTGAATATTTGCTGCATGCTTTCTAGCAGTGTGATCAGTTGAATCAAACATAACATTACTGATTTCTTTTCCGCTCTTTTTATATATTTCAAATTTGTCAAGAAAAAACCGACATTTCGGTGCATTTGCTATTTGAGAGTGCTTTCTATAAAAGCTGTGAATAATATTTTGTGCTGCTGATAAGCTCAGCTCTCGATCAATTAAGTCTTGACATATCATGTACAAAGGTCCCTGCACGTTTTTTCGGTTACCTTCAATTATTCGCTCAACGATCAGTAGATTACGCAATTTTGCAGCTCGAATAAAACAAACTGTCATTCGAAACCTTAAATTTTTTTAAAAACATTTAAATCATGCAGTTAACTCAAATGGATCAAACGCACGCTTTCCATTGAAAAGTGATAGATGATAAGTTACCAACCCAGCTCTTAGCGGCATTTTTGTACGCGAATTTAGGTTATTTCAAAACTTAATCTTGGGATGTTTTTAATCGAGATTGTAGCTCTTTTGTGTTAGTTTCAACCCATTTTAAGCACATAAATTTTATAAAAAGAGATAGTGTCTCTGGTCGTTGAACAACGGCAGTAGCCCAATTTCCTTCGTTCATGTGACACAAAAAACTAAGCGTCTCCCAAGCAAGTAATCTAATTAGATTTTCTTAAAAACGTTTTTATACCAAATTTGACAACGCAGTATAAATTACAAATTGCAATCAACACATTCTAAATTATTTGCATGATTGAAGTAACAATCATACTTAAGGTGCAATACCAGCAAACTTAAGGTGCGATATTTTCAGTCTTCTCTTCCAATAAGTCGATTAATAGCAATTAACTATCTTTGATCAGCATTCCAGGTTTCAGCGCTTCCACTGCTTCTTTATTAATTAGAGCCTCAATCATCGCGAAAGCTAGTTCAAACGCAGTTCCAGGCCCCCGGCTGGTGATCAGGTTACCATCAACTACCACTCGGTCTTCTGAGTAATCATACCCCGCTTCCTCCATTACGCTCTTAACTGATGGATGAGATGTCACTTTTTTTCCATTGTCGATTCCGTGCTTCGCAACAGCCGTAGGCCCTGCGCAAATTGCAGCAACTATTTTACCTGCGTCTGAATGTTTTTTCAATACCAAGCCTACAGTTACATCATCTGCCAGATTTTTAGCTCCATTTACGCCTCCAGGTATCAAGACAGCGTCAAAAATGTCATTAGCAACAGATGCAAGAGCAGTATCCGGCTTTAAAACAATATTTCTCGAACACTTCACATTCTCATCAGACTTCAATCCAGCCAAAGTAACGCTGATTTTAGCTTTCCTCATCACGTCAACTGGAATAACAACTTCCATTTCTTCGGCTCCTTCCGCCAAAATTACCAGAATTTTCTTAGAGCAGCTCATACTCAACAACTATCTGAAAAAGTAGAATATAAACCTCATCAAATTGCATTTCTAGTTAAACTTCACAAGAAGGCATATTAGGCCGTTTTCCTAATATTCGCAATTTTCAGTTTCTACGTTAAAAATGAGCATGAAACGAATTTAGAATTTTTATATTTACAAAATTTTCTGTCAATAAAGACACTTGTGCATGTTTTTGATGTGCAGTATAGTTGATGTTTTTGCCTTCTGATTTCTACATTTTGAAAGAGAAAAATCTATTTTTTTTTCAAGTATACCTACGGGTGAAGGCTTTTTGCCCCCCATTGAGTAAAACCAATTCATGAGTCAACAACAACTGACGGAATCTCAGCTACCAATTACTCACGAAGTGCTGATTGAAACGGAGACAAATTTCAGAAATGCGCTAACAGCAAACAAATCGACGACACAACAAAACAAATCCAAATAATCAAAATCATCCCCCCATTCTCGAGAGAAATTGTAAGGTCAGCAGAAAATCTGGCGCAGGCATATCGAAGTTGTGCTTCCGATATACTTAAACAATTCCCCACAACAATGCAACAGAAGATGACAATCTCAAAAACAATAACCGTGACGAAAGATGACCGCAAACTTCATACACTGACAGTTATTGCTCCCCCAGAAGCAGAGCAATTCATAACTAGCATCAAAAGCGAAGGAATCATTCTACTTAACAGGACGGTATTGCCCATGGGATGCTTTCCAAGGTCTCATAGACCCAAGAACATTTACCCTAAACTAGCAAAAATCAAATTGTCGAACTTGCCTTATGTATGCAACGATATCGAAGCGAAATTAATTCTCCAATTGCCAGAAGACATAATTCATAGACCCATATTCCAACGTGAGACCTGTATCGTAACTGAACCGGGTCAGTATGTTTAGAGAAAACTAGCAAAAATCAAATTGTCGAACTTGCCTTATGTATGCAACGATATCGAAGCGAAATTAATTTTCCAATTGCCAGAAGACATAATTCATAGACCCATATTCCAACGTGAGACCTGTATCGTAACTGAACCGGGTCAGAACAAGAGAAAAAGCTGAAGGACTGGTCTTATAAATCGAGAATGGATGGCTTCAAAATGTGCGAAGGTGTAGAAATCTTGTTTCACATACCTTCACTACATGAATGTCAAAAATGCAAGATGTCTGGACGCCAAGAAAAAGGTCATCACGATGATTGGTGCAACATAGGGAACCAAATAACCAAAAATCCAAATAGTCACTACCCACAAAAACTAAGCTCCAATAATGCCAGCGACGAGAAAAACGATGCCGAAACAACAAGCGAAAACTTTTGTAATGGTACCGAAAATGAAGAAGATAAGAATGTTGAAGCACCACCATCTGGAGTTTTGATTGATGAATCTAAAACAAACAGTGCAGCTACTCCAAGCGAAGAAAAACAAAAGGATGAGGTTCTCAACAATCAGGTCGTAGATTTTCATTCTTACTCTGCAAAAGAAAAAAAAGACAATTTAAATATCGAAAATAACAAACGAAAATGTTCCTCTGACGGAAGAATGCTTACAAAAAGAGAGCGTGAAACTTCACCAACCTCTTGGTCAGTTTTATCACGGAAGAAAGGGCCAAAAATGAAATCTAAAAATAACGGAGAAGTCTTGGTTGGAGGGAAGTTTTAGCAAAAATTTCTATGTGCGAAAAACCAGATATTTTTTCCGTTAATATTTTTAGCATAGGAAATCCAGCTAAATTACACTCACTTATCAAAAAATGCCAATTTCAAAAAAATCGCCCAGTTTCATTTTGTGCGTTCAGGAAGCAAAAATATCGAAACTTACAAATATACATTTGAGTTTACTGGATAAATATAATGTTTTATTCGATTTCATACCGGGCTCAAATAATTCTGGTGGTTTCTTAACGTTATGGTCATCAAACTTGAGTCCTGCAAAAAGAATTGCTTCAAGTACAGGTTTTCAATTGTTAAAGTTTGTCAAACTTGATTGTTTTGTTATCAACACTTATGCGAACCCAATTTCATTCCGAGCAACTTTGAACTCCCTAAAATTAAGCATCAGATTTTTACCTAACAAATCGAAAATTATCATGATGGGTGACTTTAATGCGCTGAGTTATGATAACATTAACAGTTCTTCAATACTTAAATTAAATGATGCACGTATCAAACGATTTACCCAACTCAAAGAACAAAATCTTGACTGTTTTGGTTTTGTTGATTTTGCACTCAAGAATGATTTTTGTGATTATACACATTATGACAAACAACATAAAACTTTTGCACGCATAGATTATGTTTTCATAAAATTCGAAACAGAGTATGATTCTATGCAAAGCATTCAAATATCAATATCTGATCATTTGCTTTTACACGTTTTTGTTAAGCCATCTAACTTGTATCAGCGCGGCCCTTGTTACTGGAAATTAAATGAAAAAATTTTCAACAACAACGGCTTAATTCGTGAAGACTTAAAAAACTTTTACGAAAATGAATCACCAAGCAGTTACGAAAACTTTAAGCACAATTTTCGTGACCTTCTGAGGTTTATTCAAGAGAACAAAAAGCGTGTATATCAGAAAGAACTTAATTTATTGAAAATCACGAAAATGTTCTCAGAGATTGCATTCACAGCGGAAAAGGTCCGAACCCTAATTTGATTGAAAAATATCATTTGGTGCTGGAACATCTTCAAAAAGTTTCCAAGGAAAAAGATTTTTCAGGTTATCGAAAAATTCAGAAAACTCTCAGCTGTACATTCGAGGATGTTCCCAAATTTTGTAGTCAATGGACATCAAAGAACACAATTAACTCAATTAAGCGAATTCAAGTGGATCAGAACGTTTATCATACGGATGAGGATATTCTTAATCAATTTCGAAAGTATTTTTCAAATATTTTTTCAAATAGTTCTACAACAGACTCCGATCAACTACTAAAGACATTTTTATCAAAAAATAAACTCGAAAAAAATGAGAATGATGGCTATAATTACTTTACAGAAGATGAAATTCACTTGGCTATAAACAAATTGAATTTGAAAAGCTCGCCTGGACCAGATGGCCTTACTTCTAAGCTATACAAGACTTTCACGGATGAGTTTTGTTTAATTTTAGCTAAAGTTTTTAATCATTTTGTTCATGGTGGAAAACTTCCAAACAGTTTTTATTTAGCAATAATCAAACTGCTCCCGAAATCTGAAAATGCCATAGCAGTACAAGATTTTCGCCCCATCAGCCTTATGAATACTGACGCGAAAATCTTTGCCCATGTAGTCTGTAATCGAATTAAAAATGACCTTTGCAAAGTTGTAAAAAACCATCAGCACGCGTAATTGCCTGGAAGACAAATGCACACAGCAATACGAAAGTTGAAAAAAGCGATTACTCCAGAACGATTGGCTACCCGAGGTTCATGTGCTGTAAAATTAGACTTTTCTAAAGCATTTGACAGAGTTGACAGATCACTACTCATCAAAATTTTGAAAGGGTTAAGCCTTGATGAGTTTTCAGTTACAGCTATTGAAACTTTGTATTTAGACTCAAAAGCAGTAATTGAGATAAATGGTTTTTTATCAGCCAGCTTCAAAATTCATCGCGGTGTGAGACAAGGTTGCCCTCTTTCCGCATTTTTATTCATTGTTTTTATCGAACCCCTTCTTCAAGCAATTGAATCTACAGAAGCAATTGAAGGTCTCGGGATATTGTGCCCCAAACTAGTTTTATATGCAGACGACATAACTTGCCTGATCAAAATCCGATGTATTGACAGGTTGTTTCGCTTAATCGATACATTTTGCCAACAAACTCAAATGATGATTAACATAAGTAAAAGTGAAGTGCTTTCCATACCTGATTTATCACCCTATAAAACAGTCAAGGAAACAAAAATACTTGGTGTCTTGTTTTACACTTCCCAAAAAATTGAAAATATTGAACTATTGTTGAGTTCTCAAATTCAAAAACATCGCGGGTTAATTTCACTAAGTAAATCTTTGAGGGCCAAATCATTAACACTGTCAGTTTATGTTCTCCCTAAAATTTTTCATTTGGCTCGTCATACTACAGTTAACTTGGATACTGTTAGTAAATGCCAAGAATTATTAAATACAGAATTGAAAAAAACAAGCAGACTCGACATAAGAAAAGAAGTTTTATATCACCCCATCTTAGATGGTGGGATAGGCTTACCATGCCTACAACTTAAATTTTTTAGTATGAAAATTATCGATTTCTTTGCTTCTGATATGTCAGATCAAAATAGTTTATTACCAACAGATTCAATTTTACCGAAAGAAATCAAAAATTTGTTGAGAAATACGAACATCTCTATTGAAATAAGTTCAAGTGATTTTGCAATATTTTCAAACAGTACCAATAGCCGTTTAATTATAACAATACAAACAAAATCGCGAGATGTTTATTATTTCTGCTTACAAAACTGTAGTTTTCATCGAGCTGCGATTTCCCGCTTGGGTTTTACAGCAAACCGTTACCTCTGTTCAGAAGAAGAATTGATTAAATTTACAGGCAGTTTTTGGAAAAACTCAATGCTTGATGTATGGGAAAAAGACTTTCTTTATAAATTTGCATACGCAGTTTTTAAAGATCGAGAAAAGCGGCGGTTTTTTTTTCTCGAGAATGCCCCCGAATGTTTCTATTGTAATTTAGAATGCGAAACATTCGAACACCTAATTTTCAGTTGTCCCTCGCTACAACCTTCAAGAAACATATTACAGATTAATAATTGGCGTGACGTTTTTGTATCAACCAACATTGCAAGACTTATGTATGTTGTTTCGGTTAGTCGTGATGCATATTCAAAATCATCGACGTCATGGAAAATCAACTTGCAAACATTTGTGTCATGGGAAGTATGGAAGATGAGAAATACAAATTTCTCCATCTGATATAAACAACAAGGATATGGTAGACTTCAGCAACAAACCATCCGGTAAGAGTAATGTCAATTGAACAAAAACTGCTAAGAAGTAGAAGGTCGATATATCAAGCGTACCAGGATACTCAAGCGTTCAGAAACTAAGGTTACTAACTCGATGAGTTG